ACAGGATTTATGATATTGCAAGTTCTTCCTTGGATTTTGTGAAGTATCTCTAGATAACTATAAGAAACTCCATGCCACTTGTGGCAGCAATATACAATGCATAGATGAATGGCAAACATTTAAAGGTACAATATAGCTTCTGACGAGAATTGTTTAGAACTACATTTGCTAGCAGCTTTGCGAAGAAAGATGTTGATATAGCGAATAGGAAATACAAACCTCTATATTTTAGGATGGTTGTGCTTAATTTTAGCGTACAATGCAGCATTTGTATATAACTGGACGCAGAACACAATCCTTGAGAAAGAGGAAGTAGATTTGTTTGACTGATAGGCGAGGGTCATTAGTTTAACAAGTAAGATAAAACTAGTGAGCAATGCTCATTGCAATTTTAGACAGTCAATGCCAAATGCTCAAGGGTAAGTGGTGGAGTGAGGGAAGAAGACGTCAAGTTAAGCCGAGCCAGGCGGTCTCAGTATAGAATTAGAACTAAGATGACTTGAAATCGAGATAGAGAGAAAGAGAGAGAGAGAGAGAGGCAAAGTGAGTGAAAGAGAATGAGAGAAAAATCAAAGTAGACAGCTTAAAGTCTAAGTCAGCAGCTCGTTTCATGATATACGTAAGTGTGGTTTGGTATGATTGGTTTGTTTAACGGCAAATCACCATCCTTATGGGTCATTTAATGCCGAAATTTTATTTTCTTGTGAGCTTTGGTATTATTTTTTTGTTTTTTTTTTGTTTTCAAAAAATGTATTCCTCGTCGTTTTCTTACTATGAAAACGTATTGCTATTAATTTTTTGCAATGTATTTTTACATTTTTGTGTTTTGACCCCAATTTGGGGGTGCGCTATTTGCCCATAGCTGTTACCCTAATAGGTGCTACCACAGCGGTTCAGGTTGGACCTGGAAGGAACTGTAATTAAAAGGTAGTTACACACAACGCAAAACCTCTGAATCAGAGATCTTGCTGCCGGATGTAGTCTATCGTCATATCAAGACCGGCCCGCGAGGGTACGATTCTCTGCCAGAAATTACCTTTTTATTCAGAGTGGATAAAAGCGTTGGTTAGATACAGTGACAGGACCCAAAGAGTGTGAGTTCAATACCCGGTTAAGGCAGTGGAGAACTTTCAGAGGGAAATTAGCAGGTGATAACTGAGAACTGGCATACATCTAACATGACACGTGGAACTAGAACAGTCTAACCCAGTGATCGAAATAAAGGGTTCAGTTCGACATTCCAACCATCTGAAGAAGGCCGGAGCGTAATCTTTGTGATAAATATGGCGACAAAGATGAGGACAATAGTCCGAATCATGTAAATAATGTAAATAATGTCCCTTTTCCTTATATTTAACTCTTCTGCCAGCTCATCTGCTACTGTGTATTTGTTACCAAATGGACACGTTTATTTCAAACTTAGGCTCAATCCTTTATACTTTCTCTTTGTTCTGTATCACTCAAGTCATCTAAAATATATTTGTTTTGGTTAGTTCGATAGCAATCAAAATGATCTTGCCCTAATACGTCAAATAGTTTACGATATGCTTAGTCTAAAATTCCCTTTCAAGAAGATAAAAGTGGAAATTCTCCTAGCCATCATGAAATAGGTTGCACTATACCATAAATTACAGCAACAAATAACTCCGTTGCAAAGAAATAACTGGGGAGTGATTGAAGGAACGACCCAAAGAACTGCTCACAAGCCATATGTTTAATTAAACATATTTGATATGCTCTTAAAATAAAAGATTCAATCAACAACTTTTAAAAAGCCAGCGAGAATTATTATTACTATACAGGGTGTAACAGCAAAATTTTATGGGAAATATGTCCATCCCACAAAATGATTAATATCTAAACGAATTTTGGGACACCATATATATATATATATATATATATATATATATATATATATATATATATATATATATATATATATATATATGTAGAAATATAGTTTTAATTTTTGCTATATTTATAGGATAAAGTGCTCACTGTCAGAGATAGAGCATATGTGAATATAAATATAAAGAAAACAAGCTGTTTCATGTTGGACGCAATCGTCAGGTGCGGCCTGACGATTTCGTCTAGCATGAAACAGCCTGTCGTCTCTGACTTCAATGTTCACTTATATATATATATATATATATATATATATATATATATATCAAAATTGCCCAAATCATGTTACAGTCTCTCACAGAATTTTGACACTAAACTAATTGAATTTCTTTTTTTACAGGTAAGACGTTTAGCCATTTTGACATCATTTTTTGTAAGAATCAGTGAAAAACCCTTTGAGTTACTCAGCTAGAAAGAGAACAGGTGGAACTCGTTTTGTGTCCGCCACACTATGTCTTACCAACTAAGCAATGGTGAGAGGAAAAAATCATTCAGGTCTTCAGTAATATTACCAACATTCATACACTAGCTTCTATTTTCAAAGTCCATCAATAAGGACCATCAAGATAAGGGTCAATAAGTTTAAAAAAGGGGGGATCAGTAGAGAAGAAACTGGATCAGGAGTTCACAAGCAAAAGAGGGATCAGCATTTCAACTTAGAACTAAATATGTTCTTATCGCAGCGTATAATACAGTTAAAAATATCTCGGAGAATTCCAGTGAGTTATTGTTAATCAACGGTTCAAAGCTTAACCTTTTGATCCCTGGCCACCGCTTTACCGGTGGAGAGAAAAAAGACTTAGTACCCAGCTACCGCATGGTGAACACATGAGTCGTGTTTTGTTATTGGTTGTCTTATTCTGAAGAGCCAATCATAAAAACCGTAATATTCTCATGTCATCGGACGGTTTACCAACATGTCCACGCATTTTCATTGTGTTTTGTGCATGTTTTTTGGATAAAAAATATAATTTTTACGTCTAAGCGTGCAGAGTCTTAACCTGGACCACCAGGGAAGCAATAAGCGAGGTACATTTTTGTAAGTATTTTTATATCTAACGTGAAACATTACATACCATTTATTTGCGAATTTTGACTGGGTTGAAATTTTCAGGAACCCAGGACGCAAAGGTTTAATCTAACAAATAAACAATTACACGATTTGGAGAAATTGCTGTTACAACCGGTATAACTAAACATTAAATTTTTTAACGAATTTATTCTAAAGAAAGCATTTAATTAAATATTTGTATCTAAAAAAAAAATATCGTATAAACTAATTGTTGGACTTGTCCATTTTATATATATATATATATATATATATATATATATATATATATATATATATATATATATATATATATATTACTAAATTAAATGCCTTAACTCAATATATTCGATTTTGAATTTGTTGTCTACACCGTATAGGCGCAATTTTTTTCAATTTTCATTTTACTTTTCCTATCGGTATATATATATATATATATATATATATATATATATATATATATATATATATATATATATATATATTGTGTATATTTAGGCATCAATTGATGCATGTTTCATTAAATAATATAAACAAGTTTTGTCTATTTATTTTAACTAAGTTCCTTTCATATTGTCTGATAAGCATAATATTATAATTGAAGGACGAAAGGAAATCACCATATTGATACATGTTTAAATCCAATCTAAGCTTTCGGCTTACATAAGACATTATCAAAGATGACAATTACTTTTCAATGTATCAACCAATACACAGAACAATAATCTGTTTTTGTTGCATGCCTGGCCGCGTACACAATTCCGGAAAATCCTTGTTGAAAACACAACTATACTTAAACATGAAAACGATAAACAAAAACTAAAAATTCTTGAAACTATATACATAAAACACTTGAAACCTAACCTGAACGAAATAAACTACGAAGTCTCCACAAATATTCTTAAATGCCTATAATTCATAATAGAAACCATTTGTTTATACCAACGGCTTCCCATACTTAATAATTCTCGTTTTCACTCTCGCCTGGTCATGTGTGACGTCACGAGCTGGGACGCGATTTTCGCTTCCGCGTCTCGTATACACGAGTTAGTCGTTGTTTTGAATTTTTTTTTCCGTGTATTGGTGGTACTTCTAAAGTGATCAGTTGGTTCAAGATAATTGAAGACAAAAAGAATTGTACTTTCAGCCAATTCGATATTGGATTTTTATGCCTCTATCTCTAAAGACCTATTTCAATTAGCATTGAAATTTGCTGAAGTTTATTCAGAGATTTCGCAAGATAAAATTAACATTATTTTCTGGTACGAATATCAGTACTAGTCCACGATAAAGAACAGTGAATTAAAAATTCGGCTGATAATTTCGACATAACAAATGGATCATTGGATCCTACAGTCTTCTGACTTAGTTGCATTGTTCTTATTGTACCAATTTACGGCGTATGAAGATATTTATTTGAATAGTATTGGAATTTATAATGACGATGTTCTCATGCTTGTAAATAACTCTACTAGAAGTAAAGTTGATAAACTTAGAAAATTAATTCATAAAGTATTTAAATATTTTAATTATAGCGTAATAATTATTTCCAATATCAAACAAGTGCAATTTCTCACACCTAACTTTAAATTTAGTTCTCAATAATTTTCAGCCTCACATGGAAAACAATGCCAACATGATTTATATCCACCATAACTCCAATAATGCACCGTCTGTAATCCAACATATTCCAACGTATTAAGCAACACTCCCCTAACAAAGAGATATTCGAGAATCATAAAATAGGTTATAACACAATTCTAAGTGAGGGTGGGTTCAGATCTTCTGAAATTTAGTTTATAAAAGATTATGATTGTTACAGAAAGAAAAACATAAACAGGAAGATCATACTGTATAGAGGAAGATCCTACAGTATACCGGAAGATCATACGGTATACAGGAGGATCATACGGTATACAAGAAAGTCTTACGGTATACAGGAAGATCATACCGTATACAGGAAGATCATAGGGTATAAAGGAGGATCATAACGTATACAGGAAGATCATACTATATACAGCAGGATCAAGCGGTATACAGGAAGATCATGCGGTATACAGAACGATCATACGGTATACAGGAAGATCATACCGTATACAGGAAAATCATACTATATAAAGGAGGATCAAGCGATATACATGAAGATCGTACGGTATACAGGAAGATCATGCCGTATACAGGAAGATCAAACGGTATACAGGAGGACCATACGGTATACAGGAAGATCATGCCGTATACAAGAAGATCAAACGGTATACAGGAGGGTCATACGGTATACACCTCTATTCAATTAGTTCGTATTAATTTGAGATACAATTTTCTAAGCTTAATTGATAAACATTTTTTTCTAAAAGATATTCATTAAATAAAATTTACAATCGGACTACTCTAAAACTTAGCTATAGTGGTACTAATAATCTATGGAGAATAATGGACATAACAATGAAACATTGAAATTATATAACAATAATAACCGCAACGCTAGTACTAATTCTAATTTGTATGGTATAACTAACCTATGTAATTGTAGGAATCCGAACCAATTTCTTTTATCTAACAAGTGCTTAACAAAATTCCTTGTGTATATGTGTTCTATTTTATCGACCGAAAATCACATGATTGTTAAAATAAATATAGGTAGCAAAAAGAATTCTTTTAAAATACATTTGTATAATCATCTCTTATGCTGACAAACTTTCTAAATATTTTTGAAAATTGAAAGAGGAAAACAAAACGTCTAAAGTTGAATTGAAAATTCTCATACAAGCCAGAACCTGCAGATTCGTGCTTTATTTGTCTACAGGAGAAAATGCAGATAATTAAACTCTTGAATAGCGATCAATTATTAAATCAGAGATATAAAATTACGGAAAATTGCAGGCATATTAAGCAATTAACCTTACAATCTTGCTAAACCTTTAACTCAATAATCACTCCTCTTATATTATATTCCCTTTATATAAACATTTTAACGCTATTCCTTTCGATTTATTCTTGATTAAAGTATAAAATTGGTTAGTATTCGCAAATTAGTGATAGTAAGTTTAGCCATGAATTCGCTTATAATTACTTTGCTGGTGATTTTGTTTGATAATAGAATTTAATTTAAAATTATTATTTAAATATTTAAAATTTATTTTTTATTGTTATTTATAATGTAAGGTTGGTATAGTTAAGTAGTTTTGTTTCTATATGCTTTTTTCTTCTTAAAGTGTCTTTTATTTACGTACTATGTTTAATTTTGTTTAAATATGTGATTTCATTCAAATTGAGTTTGTAATGCTACAATGTATCTAAAATATGTTCTATCTTGACGCGTTATATTTCCGTTTGATTTTGAATTCACCATCTATAAGTATATTCATTGTTTAAACTGTTATCAACAGCTACTCATGTCTTGTTTACTTCTCTTTTCTTTTCCTTTGTATCTCTACAATTTGGATATACTCCTCACTTTCTTTTTCCTTTTTTTATTTTCCTTCTCTCTGTAGTAGCGTTGATTTCTCATACTGTCTGATGCATTTCTTTTCTTTCTCCTTTCTATTTCTTTGGGTTTATTTTGGTTTCTGATTCAATTTTTTAAAAATTTTATCTGTATTTTTCTTTCTTTTCCTTTTGTGTATATTTGTTTCTTCAAATATTTAAAATGAAGTGATGTTTCATAAGTTGTGTTTTTTAATAAAATCTTTTATTACTACCAATGTTAACTACATGAAATGTCTAAATTAGAAACCGAAACACATATGCATTTTTGTCGTGGTAACTTGCATGCTCCAAAGTATGAGTTTATATATATATATATATATATATGTAAGTCTGAAAATAGTTTCTTTTCATTTGTTTGTTCGGCTATTGTGTAAGTATGTTGATGAAGCGACCAGTGGAATATGTGCTGATGGCAACGTCCAAAAATGTCACCGAAATATGCAGGTTGCCACGTCAAATGACGAGCGTAAAGTGCGAAAAGAATGAGACGGCGAAACCAGTGTTGGAAGCAAACTGTGTGTCGTGGATGTCCAACGTTGTACCACAAAGTGCTTGAAAGAGTGTTTCCAAATCGAATTGACAAGTGGGTTCAAAGGTGGTGCAAATGCAACGACACAATAGAAGACATTCTCTAGATTGTACAGAAAGATTTAATCTCAACGTGTTTACAGAAGCTTGAATCTCCTGTTGCTAACAATGCAGTTACATATTGACAGGTTTTCGTTTCAAGACAACCCGCGGATATTTGCGCATGAAACATTTTTACAGAACGCACAAATACTATTCTGCAATGCGAATATGAATAATCTACGCCAGAATTTCAGAAAAAAATTACAACCATTTATTCGTACACTAATAACCTATTTTCTTTCGCAATTTTCTCGGATGTTGTATTAAGATTGAGGTAATTCGATATTGTCTAGCAGAAATTCAGAGTTTTTCGATGCATGACCAATTTCTAAAAAAAAACATAAATTTTTATTTTCGAATAAAAACTAGAAAATAAAAGAACATTTGTATTAATAGATCTGTGTTTGATCACGTGTTTGTTTGAGCGTTTCTTTTCTACGCTTATTTGCACTCCGACTGCAAGTCTCTCATTCGAGCGTTAAACTATGTTTATAATGAAAATTATTCTACCGTCGAGGACAATGCTAAATATGGCGGAATGCTTCGACACCTGCAGAGCTGTGAATGGTTCTTCTCTTGATATGGACAGAAGTTTCATTGAGTGCTTGGAATCAAAGAAAACTAGTGTGTAATCCAAATCAGAAAAATTAGCTACAAACTTTTGTAGCTCCAGCTGAGTTTAAATGTGAAATAAAATATCTTCATTCCTCTAATCACACCTTTCTGAAAAGAACGATATTAGTGTCATTGCGACATGAAACAATAGCGAAAAAAATCACTTTTTAGCCACCTATACCCTTTCTCACTAAATGTGAGTGAGAGTGTAGAAGGTACCCTATAACTGGTTATAAAAGACCAGCTCACATAGGGGTGACAGTGTGTTAACCCCTATCTCGAGGGATTTATGACACATCAATTTACCATCTATTAGTTGCGTCTTTTTCTTTGGGCAGAGTGCGCTCAAGGACGAATCCGTCAAATGCAGAGTCGCAACTGAAGAAAATTATACTGAGAGATACCCAGCCCTGGGGAACAGCTGCCCGAGGCCGGGTCGCGCTCTCTCATTGCACCAGAAAGAGGGATGTGTGCTCGCACCGAGGCCAGCGCAATCGACGGTTGCGGAGGCTGCGGGCAATTTTTGTTCCTTGCCCGGGTATACGCGCTCGGGTCCCCACCTTGAAAAAAAGACCTTGTGTCACAACTCGTCTTAGTGGGTAGAGAGAGTAAATACCTAGGAGTGACACTTTCATCTGTTTCCAATCATATTCCGGCCTGGGTGGAATTTGGACTTTAATTTGAAGGAAAAGAAAGTTGGTTCTAAGGATGGGAGCTAAAGACACCATGGATTAGACATGTAAAAAACGACGTGGTTTTAGAGAAAATTGAAACAAGAATACGGCACATAGGAAGAGGCTAATTATCCTGGCAAGAGGTAGAATTTCAAGATTCTATGAGAAAAAAAAATAATTTGGTCATCTCACAGCAGACTACGCCGGTCAGTTTTACGGAACCTGAAGATCTTTGATTTTCCTGTTTTCTAAAGTTTAACCGTTCCGTCTCGACGTTGAAGAATATGAATAGATCAAAATGAATTCTTTAAACTTTTGTCGTCGTTCGTCATTTACGACAATGTGGTCACCGTTCGTCTGTTTTTTTCTGTATACGACCATGACGATCACCCAAAATTCGACATTTAAGATACCACAAAGTGATAGTCCAAGATGCAGGCTAAAATTTAAATTTGACCTGCGTGTATTTGATATGAATCAAGCATATACACCTATTATTTATAAACTGGTCCCCAACTTTCAGAAGTTTTACGGACACCACACATTCAAACACCGGTTCTGGTACGATTTATTAGTCAAATAAATGGTAATTATAAGATGCAAGATCAGATGAATATAGCCCGTGCAGTAGAACATGCCGGTCAAACTTTACCAATTTCTGTTCTGTCTGCAAAGAGACACATAGTAGGACCTTGTCTTGATAGAAAAGAAAAACCTTTCGATTTACTAAACTCAAATGTATTTTTGCTCCTTCTTCCTTCAGATATTTAGTTTAGGGATTAAATGCCTGATTTTTGCGTAAGGGGCTAGAAATTCAAAATACTCTTCCAGTCGCACCAGATACATAGCATCAGTTTTTTTTAGGGTGATTACTGGAGATAATTAAACATGAATAAACTAATTTTCTCCATGAACTTTTTTTATACATATTGTTAAAAATAATCTATTTTTCATAGTATCTGGTCGTTATTTCGAAGGAATGGGTCGATTTTGTTGCTTCTGAGCTGCGATGCGCAAATACAATTTTAAAATTTTAATTGTCTGTTAAATAGTGTGCCAGCTAGACAACGTAGCCTTTCACATATCCACATACTTTCAAATGTCTTGAAAGGTTCAAATGTGTTATGTAGAGTATATCTTCGATGAACCGTGTAGTTTGAAATAAATTTATTTGTATTAACGTTTCGATTTGCCACCGCATTCTGAACATTCCAGATTCATGTGTCCACTTCTAAGACTACTGAAATAATTTCGATCTGTACTCTCAGTCATAGAACCGTCTTCATAACTGGAATATACAATTTTACTAATTCTTAGCTTTTTTCTTTCTTTAAATTAAATGAGTAAACTGCATCTAATTTTCGGATATTTTCAAGATGAATCTACAATCATTTCAAATACCGATTACTGACAGGTAGGTATAGACGGGTTTGATTAAAATGTCATCTTTCCGAATATGTGCAGCTGTGGATTGCATTATTCACACGCTCTTCCATAATTCCAAATAAATGTATAATTCCTCAAATGTTCATGAAAACTTCATGTAAAATAATGGATTTCACAGAATTACCATAGATGACCCACACTTTTTTTTATTTTAATGTCAAACAATAATACAAAAAAACGCCAAATAAACATTTAACATCGGACAATAATAATAATTGGCCCTCTTGTCTCAATAATCAATTGTGTAAACTTGATTCTTGATTATTACCTTTAATCATTTGATAGTTACTTACAAGATCATTACACACACTGATAGGTATTTTGCTCCAATTTTCCTTGGCAATAGTTTTAGTAGCTCTAAATTTTTTTCTTCAAATATGGCCATAAATTCTCAATGAGGTTTCCGTCGGAACTATGTACAGGGTACGCCAATAACTTAATTTTGCTATCATCTAAGTAGTTTATGACAGTTCATGCCGTGTATTTCGGGTCAGTGTCATGTTGGAACGTCCAGTCATGTCCCAAAGACATCATTCGTGCACTCTCTTTTATATTATTCTTAAGAATAGCTAAATAATTCACTTCATGTCTGATATCCTGTATTCTCACTGGTCCACCTCGTGGAGAAGTTGGGTAAATACCGGCCTGAAGAATGTTGTAGGTCGGTGTTGAAATCAGTGCCCAATTCATGTGCAGCATTTTTTTTCACAAGTGAAGAAATAATGGATCTGAAAGAACGTGCCGTGAATGAATGTAGAACGCCAAATAAACATTTAATATCGGACAAAATTATTGGCCCTCTTGCCGGAATAAATCAATTGTGTGACATTTATTCTTGATAATCAATTTACTTTAATAATTTTTAATAGTTCCTTAAAAGATCACTAAACACACTGATATATATTTTTTACTTACGTAAGTGGAAGTATTTGTACGTGTATGTACATTATTTCCTACCCATTTCGATATAAACATAGTGATTTTCCAAGCGTAGCATAGATGTGGCACAAGGCCGAAATTAAGGAGCACCCAGTGAGGATCGAACTCACTATTCAATCGTAATTGTTCTAACGAGACAAGCTTGCTAACTATCACACCACCTCGAGGCGCCCAGATTCCTATATATATATATATATATATATATATATATATATATATATATATATATATATATATATATATATATATATATATATATATATATATATATATATATGTATGTGTGTGTGTGTGTGTGTGTGTGTGTGTGTGTGTGTGTGTGGTGTGTGAAAACAATTAAAAAAAATTGTAAAAAACGTTTTTGCTCTGTTTAATGAAAATAAACATTGAGCGCTCTTTGTCAGTCAGTTTTAACATATTTCAAATTGTATATTGTGAGAAATGGACTCGCTTGGATTATACCAATCTATATATATATATATAGATAGATAGATAGATAGATAGATAGATAGATAGATAGATAGATAGACATAAATATAAAAGTGAACATTGAAGTCAACACTCAGAGGCAACAGGCTGTTTTATTCTAGGCGCAATCGTCAGGCCGTGACTGTTGGATTTTTCCTCGATTATTTATATATATATATGTGTGTCAGTGCTGCATTGTATGTAATCTATTATGATGATCTTTTTCTGACTGACTTCAATGTTCACTTTTATATTTATGTTTACATACGTTCCATCTCTCATATTGAGCACTTTGTCCCATAAATATAGCACACCTATATTTCTTCATATATATATATATATATATATATATATATATATATATATATATATATATATATATATATATATATATATATATATATATATATATATATATATATATATATATATATGTATATATATGTCTTGGGCAAAAGTAGATATACCTTTTATATAAATATTTATATATTACCGTACAATTTTATTTTTTTACGTGCTAGTGCTAAAATTCAGAACTATTGCTAAGATGGGACACCTCCTTATTACGCTTTGGTAGTAAGGTGAGTATCTTGACCAAACCTTCCAGCGACTTCGAATAGGAAAACGCGCAGTATTCACCCGACTTCTCTGGGGTGAATAATCAGATTTATGAGAGAAATCTCCACACAGTGGACGAACTAAAAGAGTATATCTGAGAAGAATTTATTGAAATTGATGCAGTCGGGTTTTGTTTCGTGCTGTGTGACACAGTGTTATGAAAAATCTTGCAAGGGTGATATAAGATATTACGAGCACTTACGATATTAAACAATGTGAAACAAATATAATTTTATTAAATATATATAAATGTAATAATATGTAAAAGAAAACTGTAATGTGTATACCTACTTTTGGCCCATACTATATATATATATATATATATATATATATATATATATATATATATATATATATATTTGTGTTTATCAGAATCCAGGCTGTGATAAGTGCATCTTGTTGAGGAGTGCTTCCAGTCAGCAAAAACGTGAGTAATGTTTTCAGGTGGCTTACTGGTTCGGTGTGGAAGGCTAAAGATGTGAATCTGCTATGCCCCAAGCGCCAGCATCGATGTGAGCGGCTAGGTCAAGAGACAGATGGTTGCGAAAGGGGAAGTTCGGTAACCGGCATTAGCTCGAAAGAACTGTGAACATGTGATGGAGTGTATGTATTACCAGAAACACGAAACGATATGGTAATGTAGGCAGCCAGGAAAGACTGATGCCAGGAAGGGCGTTGCCATGGATGCTGTAGATGATGAGGCTGAAATATTTTCTTGATAGAATTAACTTTCAAGGAAAGCAGATTGTATGTGAAGGTTTGTTGATATTGGCGTTACTATATTGAAGTAAAGAGCTAACGCTCTGTGGTTAGATCTTTTTAAAAATAAACAGATATACGTTTCGAGATGAAAGTAGATAGTGAATACTACATAGTCTTATTCATTCTATTCATATCTGGCTTTCTGCCTGTCTATCTATCTCAGTATAATCCTATCTATCTTTATATATATATATATATATATATATATATATATATATATATATATATATATATATATATATATATATATATATATAATAAAATAATAATAAAGTAAGATTTATTATCCGGTGTCCTTAGAAATTATATTTATTTTTTACTAAAACACTGCTTCCTAAAAACAACCTTAGCAACTCATAATATTAATACTGTCTGCGCTCACGAATTAAGTAAATTTCTTAGAAAGTTATTTCTATTATCGCTTGGCAATGGATCCAAACTATAGATTTTATGTTTAATTTTTATAATTTAATCTATAAATTTAGTTTCAGTTTTGAAACACAAATTTTCTGTGTCGCGATGGAATCGTATTTTTTAAAAGAAAATAATATATATATATATATATATATATATATATATATATATATATATATATATATATATCATATCTATATATTATTTTCTCAACCATCTATCTACCTATCTATCTATGTATGTATCTCTTATGTTCATATCTATTTATCTATTTCAATTTTCATATTTATTTATCTATCACAGTATATTCATATCTACCTATCTCAGTTTAATTATTTTTATATCTGTCTATTCGTTTGTCAATTTTTTTTAATATCCATCTCTCTGTTTATTTTTTCATATCTTTTTATCTCACTGTTTCAATGTTGCATAACAATCTAATTTCTTTCATATATATATATATATATATATATTTAATTTTTCATATTTGTCTATCTCAGTTTTTCATACTTATCTATCTATCTATCTATCTATCTATCTATCTCATTCTGTTCTTATCTACATATCTATGTCTGTGTGTCAGCCTTCAAATATCTCTGTTTGTTCACAGAATTATGTATTTGAATCTGTTCCCCCTCCTCTCTCTCTGTCTATCTATCTATCTCATCTATCTAAATCTATCTATATCTTGGTCTCTTGATGTCTGTTTGTATCTATCAGAATTATCTATCTTTATGTCTATTATCTAATCTTTATGTCTGTCTCCTTGGTATCTATCTATCTATCCATCCATCCATCCATCTATCTATCTATCTATCATCTATCTATCCTTTTATGTGTCTCTCTTGGTCGCTTCATATCTATCTATCTATCTATCTATCTATCTATCTATCTATCTTAGCCTGATCATATCTATCTATCTATCTATCTATCTATCTATCTATCTATCTATCTATCTATCTATCTTGGTCTCTTGATGTCTGTCTCTCTTGGTATCTATCTATCTATCTATCTATCTATCTATCTATCTATCTTTATGTCTGTCTCTCTTGGTATCTATCTATCTATCTATCTATCTTTATGTCTGTCTCTCTTGGTATCTATCTATCTATCTATCTATCTATCTATCTATCTATCTATCTATCTATCTATCTTGTTTTCTTTATGTGTGTCTCTCTTGGTCGCTTCATATCTATCTATCTATCTATCTATCTATCTATCTATCTATCTTATGATCATATCTATATCTATCTATCTATCTATCTATCTATTATTATCTTTTCTTGATGTCTGTCTCTCTTGGTATCTATCTATCTATCTATCTATCTATCTATCTATCTATCTTGGTATCTATCTATCTATCTATCTATCTTTATGTCTGTCTCTCTTGGTATGTATCTATCTATCTATCTATCTATCTATCTATCTATCTATCTCTACGTTAGGACGATGTATAATTGGCTCCTCAAAATATAAATTACTGATGAATCACCCAAATACCAGAGTTTTATGTTGATTTTTATCGATAGATACCCAGCTTTCCTTACGCAAATGTTATGGTACTCACAATTTCATTTACCTACTTCTCAATGCACAGCTGAAATATCGATTCCCATGCATCACAACCCCACTAAATACCATTTCAATATTTTGTTTTCCTTACACATATCTGATAAAGCACGCTTCAATATGCATTCATTGTGCGCTGAAATATGAATGTTTACAAATTATTAAATCTGATATTTTTATAGCTGGCCACTCGTATTTCTAGAGCCGCTAGCCAATCCCTATTGCAGACGCTTGCTCATGCGCATTTATGTTTATTCAACACCCACAATGCCCACCTGTGCTTTATACTGCAACCATGCTGAGCAGACATTAGTTACAGATCCTGGGAAAGACCGTGTTATCTAGCGTGATGAACAAAGCCAGCATGCTCAAGTCTTCAGCCACGATGACTTATGACTTCGTGCTAATACAGCTATCGACGGCCTCCGAGTGTTCCATGCACCCAATTTAACTCACAAGTCATGTGTCAACCCGTGGCATGGTAATCCGGCACATTTCCAAAGATGTCGCACGCTTGGATCGACCCACTTGAGTCCATTAACGTCAGGAAGTCTCCTTCCTGACAAATCGAACATGGGTCTCCTCGTCAGAATGCGAGCGTTCAGCCCAAATGCTCATATAAATCTGATATTGCCGACAACAAAAACACCTTTTTTTTTCAACATTAAAGCATTTTCACAGCGAGTTATTAATAATCTATAGTTATTAGATGACAGGTCCATTTTTTTTTAATGAATAAAAGATCATGACGATTCCAATGTCATGCGAGAGATTTGTGAGGTCTTTTGTCAGAACCATATATTACAGGCATTTTTTTAAGTCTATTTTGTACATATATTATATTTTACTTCAAATATTAATTCAAAATGATAAGTATTTTGAGAAAAAAAAAGCACATTTTTACTCAAACAAAAGCCCTAAGCTTTTATTTTATGAAAGATTTTTCAATTTCACTTTTAATAATCATTATCTTAAACAGATGAACTATCTTTTATCTTATTGTAAAATACGAATTTAAATAATTAGGAGCTACTTTTTAACCAAATACACTCAAATATTTTTAAAATACTAATTTCAAACGTTTACTTTTAAATTTAGATTTAGTAATTTAATCACTTGAAATTCAGTGTGAAATTAGTCCTATTCTACCTTATAGTATTGCTAATCAAAATGCGTAAAGTATTGCTTGTTATTATTTTTACTTGTACTTTATCGGTGAAATGACCTACGGCCAAAATGTCCGTTCGGTTTTTTCAGTCAAATGGCCGTTGGACAAATGTCCGTCGGCCAAATGTCCGTCAGCCAAATCTCCGGCCATACATACAAATAGATATTTGTCCTCGATTATCAACAAAGAGCGAGGATTGAAAACCAGCAATTTTTATTGATTCACATTTTACGGTGATTGATAATTTATGTTTTCCTCCCTCCCGCTCTTCATTGTCTGTGGTTTTTCATTATATCAAATTTTAATAGATTTATTTTTTTAGCACAGATTATAATAATAAATAAGAATTAATATACTATTTTTGAGAGCACGGTTCGTAACAAGTTATATGCTGAAACCAATAATAAATAATAAATAAAGAGATAAATAACAAATAATATATGTTTAAACAAATAATAAAAATATACATAAATAATAAATAACAATAAATAAATAATATTATATCCTGAATCGAATGATAAATAACAATAAATAATAAATAATATATTCTAAAATAATAATAAGAAATAATATATGTCTAAAAATAATAAATAAATAAACAAATAAATAATGATAATAACAAAATAAATAATAAATAATATATGCTAAAAAATATATATATATATATATATATATATATATATATATATATATATATATATATATATATATAAACAAATAATAAATAACAATAAATAATAAATAGTATATGATGAAATCAATAATAAATAATAACAGAAAGAAATCCATTTCAGGACGGATTTATATTCAGAATTTTCATACTAGACTGATTATTCTGTCAAAGCTAAAACGTCGAGTTTACTCTCTTACTTACTGAATTTTGAATTCATATTTTCCTTCTCTTGGACTGAAACGAAAAAGAGTCTGAACTGTTATTTAACCTGTAGTTAGAGGACGAAGGATTATTTTTCTTTTATATGGGAAATGAGAACTGAATGAAAACGAATACTAACAGAATTCGAACACAGCATTCCGATTTCCATTTTTGGAGATACCACATGCATTACGCTATCCACACATAGACGAAAAAACAATGTTTTGGTATTTATTAATAGTAAGTTATTCTAGCAGCTGGAGATCATAGCTTGCCAACAATTTCCACTAGCACCTAGAACTCTGTCAGTGGGTTGTCAGTTTGGCCTGCTATCTCGATTTCTATATGGCAAGAATCCCAAGACCAGAACAAATATTCACTTGCCCCATTTTTAGTTTTGCTTTGTTAAGTAGCCTCAATAATGACTATGTAAACACAAGAAATTAAATTATGTCTATATATCTGAGATGAGGTATTATGTACACTATTTACATTATTCGGACTATTGACCTCATCTTTGTCGCCATATTCATTACAACGTTTCGGCCTTTTAGTATCTGTCTATATTTCTGAGATGAGGTATTATGTACACTATTTACATTATTCAGACTACTGCCCTCACCTTTGTTGCCATATTTATTACAACGTTTCGGCCTTTTAGTATCTGTCTATATTTCTGAGATGAGGTATTATGTACACTATTTACATTATTCAGACTACTGCCCTCACCTTTGTCGCCATATTTATTACAACGTTTCGGCCGTTCAGTATCTGTCTATATTTCTGAGATGAGGTGTTATGTACACTATTTACATTATTCAGACTATTGTCCTCATGTTTGTGGTAATATTTATTACAACGTTTCGACCATTGTACGCTCCGGTATTCTTCAGGTGGTTGGAATGTCGAACTGAACCCTTTATTTCGCTCACTGGGGTAGATTTTTCTAGTTTCACGTGTCATGTTTAATGGATGTCTGTTATCAGTTATCTCCTGTTAATTCCCCTCTCCAAGTTCTCCACTGGCTTAACCGGGTATTGAACTCACACTCTTTGGGCCTTGTCACTGGATCTAACCAACGCCTTTATCCTCTGTGCCATATATCCTTGAACGAAATAAAGGGTTCAGTTTGGCATTCCAACCACCTGAAGAATACCTGAAGTAGGCCGGAGCGTACAACGGCCGAAACGTTGTAATAAATACGGCGGCCAAGTTGAGGACAATAGTCCGAATAATGTAAATTGTCAACCATTTACATGTTTGTAAAACTACACATGAAAAATATGCGATATTTGTTTTAAATGTATTGTACTGTTAAACATAGATCTGCCAACTAGAGACCTTATTCAGTTACAAATTTTTCTAGCCTCATTTCGTGAATAACCACGTTTATAATTCTAGTGAATCATTGATAACATTCTTATGATGATAATCGCTTTCAATTTACAATGAGATGCACAAGAGAAACTTGACGATGTTTTCGTTTCGTACAAATAGAAAATCAAGTTTCTTTTCACGTCATATTGCTGACTGATTGTAATTGAATTTGACAATAAAAGGCTGCTGAAAGCAAAAACAAACACGAATTCATATAAGTAATGCAATTCAAACTTCAAAATTATGTCAAGACTATTCGCTTATATCCGGTCAGTTTACCTTCCAGTAAATATTTTAAGAGTAAGAATATTTTGCTCAAATATACGACAGTTTTTTTCTTCTGAATATTCCGTCGATGATTTTGTACATTCACAGTCGATCCTGAACGCTTAACTGCTTGAAAACTGATTATCCAAGCTAATTTCAAATTCTAACGGGGATCTGCTACATGTGTATTAATTCTGTAGAACCTTTCAACTCTTAAGGGAAAAGTGTGAGAAGCATCACTACACGAGATATTTCTGTTACTTATTCAGTAGTAACTCGCTCCGTACCTAACCTGTTTTGGGATTTAGTGTTGTACTCCTGAAACTGTTGTCACCCGAAGTCATTGGGCCAAGTCTTACCCGTTATAAATCTCTAGCTACCCTGGTGGCTCGAAAAATAAGACCTCATACATTTCCGTGACAATTTCTCCGAAAGGGAACACAACAGCATCGACTAGAATTTGAAATCAACAGCCTATCCTATTTACACACCGATGACCGCTATCGAACCACCATATCTTTTTTTCCAGTGTTAATTAGCATACACATACAATGATAGTACGTATTAATTTATCACTCTGTTCTTTGTTTGGAGCGAGATCTTCCTCTTTTATAATAATTCGTTTAATGTTTGGAAGTTATCATTAGCTATTCCAATGGGTCTTCGAATTTATGTGTTATTTAGCGTCGTCTTTTAAAGGTTATATATAATATTAGCCATTTCCTTATGAGGAAAAATTCTACTTTGATTTTATAGTGCAAGTACACGGCATTGAAAGAGTAATTGTCTTTGCCAAAATCCTCAGGATTCACTTGTTCAAAATTACAATACTAACTAAATTGTTCCATTTCTGTTCTTGCTTGATTCTGCCATTGCCGATTTGTAGTTATTTGGATTACGGTTAATCGACGAAAGCTGCGAAACTTATTATAATAACGAATGTATGACCCAAACTACAAGTCATACGTGACAATTGTGAGAATGAATCGGTTTGCGAAGAAAATTGGTGTACAATAACATATATGTCAATGGTATTACGAATAAATTCCTTAACGCGACTCATGGACAAATTGAATGCACATTGATGGCACAAAATATTATGGGAATTCGTGTAAAGTAATATCGCCATAAAGACATTTAGAAAACTATGTACGATTTAGAGTTAATGAATCAAAACTGAAAAGCATTTCCGAAATTGTCTTGTAACATTTTGTTCCGGTGAAACATCGGCGTGATTTGAACACGGACTGGGACATTCATC